TAAGGACCCTAACTGAGAGGCATACAATACCTTTACAAATAGCACTTATTCAGGAACCATGGATAAATGGGGACCATATTAAGGGGCTAAATCTAAGGGATTTTAAACTGTTTAATAAACAAGCAAATAAACCAAGAACTTGCATTTTGGTTAATAATAAAGTTAAAGCCAGCCTGATACTTAATCTATCAAGTGCAGACTTGACTATTATTAGAGTAACACTAAATGATGGTAAAAATATTATAGTAGCTTCAGGATACTTACCATATGAGGTCACAGACCCAGGTAGGGACCTAACTATGCTCTTTAATTATTGCAAAAATGAAAAATTAGAACTAATCCTAGGTATGGATGCTAATGCACACCACACTATTTGGGGGAGCAGTAACATCAACCAAAGAGGAGAGGTTATAATGGATCTATTGCTGACTACAGACCTAAGTATACTGNGGAAGCCTGTACAGAATTAAGTGATATTGACTCGGAAGGGTTATTAATAGAAATCATACGTCTCTTATATGCGATTAAACGTAAAAATCTTCTTTGTACACGCTCAAGCGATTCTATCAATCCGACTTGTGAAGGATTCCAAATAACTGAGCAATATTCTAACGTAGGTCTAACTAAAGAAGTATACAATGTTTTTAGACACTGTTCATTCTTGAATTCTTTGGTATTCCTAATTAAGAACCCTAGAATTCTTAGGGACTTCACACTATTATTAAAGTAACACTAAATGATGGTAAAAATATTATAGTAGCTTCAAGATACTTACCATATGAGGTCACAAACCCAGGTAGGGACCTAACTATGCTCTTTAATTATTGCAAAAATGAAAAATTAGAACTAATCCTAGGTATGGATGCTAATGCACACCACACTATTTGGGGGAGCAGTAACATCAACCAAAGAGGAGAGGTTATAATGGATCTATTGCTGACTACAGACCTAAGTATACTGAACAGAGGTAGTGAACCTATCTTTGTTATCAGGAACAGACAGGAAGTCATTGATCTGACAGTTTGTTCAAAAGGGTTACTTCAAAAATAAAAGGGTGGAAAGTGTCCTCCGAACCTTCTCTTTCTGATCATAGGCACTTACGATTCACTTTGGAAATTAACAAAGTTGAGACGGAGTACTATAGGAACCCGAAAAGAACAAACTGGGACAAATACAGGGCAGATCTCTCTCGTGACCTGATTAACCTACAGTTTAGATTGGGGTCGAGACAGAGTACTGAAAGGGCTGTAAATATGCTACAGGACTCCATTGTCTCAGCTTACAAAGAAAACTGTCCTTTAATAGAAAGGAAAGGTACAGGGCAGGGTGTAGCTTGGTGGAATGCTAAACTGTCTAAATTAAGAAAGAGTTCACGTAAGCTCTTAAATAAAGCAATGAAATCAGGTTTGGAACAACACTGGGAATCCTATAAGGACGCCCTAAGGAACTACAAATCTGCATTGAAAAAGTCCAAAAGAGAAAGCTGGAAGAAGTTCTGTGGGGATATACAACAACTCCCTACAGCAACTAGACTTCTGCGATCACTAAGGAATGGACCAAACAAAACTGTCGAGGCAATACTACTGCCAGACGGAATGTTCACCAATAATGATAATGAAACATTATCACATTTGATGAACACACATTTTCCTGACTCTACAATTAACAACAGAGAACAGGAACATGATGCACAGGACAAACGTGTGACCTGTGCTGATTGGAGACTAACCAGGAAAGTGATAACCCCAAGTGGAATAAGATGGGCAATAAAAGCCTTTGGCAGTTTTAAAGCTGCAGGCTGTGACGAAATTTTCCCTGCACTTCTGCAAGAAGGGTTAGAGATAATCGTCCCCCATCTCTGCAAAATATTTAGGGCATGCCTTGCCTATGGTTATCAACCAGAAAGCTGGCGTAAGGTTAGGGTAGTGTTTATACCCAAACCTAACCGCACTAACTATTATGAAGCAAAATCCTACAGACCAATAAGTCTTACTTCTTTTCTTCTTAAGACTATGGAGAAACTTATTGATAGGTACATCAAGGAGGGGCCTCTTAAGGAGAACCCTTTACATGAAAACCAACATGCGTATCAAACGGGGAAATCTACTGATACAGCTCTACACTGCTTAACTACTAAGATAGGGAAAGCTGTAGAGAATAAAATGTATGCAGTAGGTATATTCCTGGACATCGAAGGGGCTTTTGACAATACTCCCTTCGATGCTATGTGTGAATCTGCACAACAGCATGGAATAGAACCACTTATTATTAAGTGGATAGAATCCATGCTTAAGGAACGCTCCATTTTGGGACAGCTCAATGAGACCAAAGTAATCAAGAGTGTCAAACAGGGATGCCCACAAGGCGGGGTTCTATCCCCCTTGCTATGGTGTCTAGTATTGGACTCGCTTATTAGAGAGTTAAACAAATATTGTTATACACAAGCCTATGCGGATGACTTGGTTATAGCAGTGGTGGGTAAATTCCCAGACACTATTATTGACTTAGCACAACAGAGACTTAACACTATACAGATATGGTGTAGTAAGTACGGTCTATCTGTTAATCCAAATAAAGCAGAGGTTGTTATGTTCACTAGAAAGAGAATAGGACTAGACAACCTGGACACTCTTACTCTGAATGGACAAGAAATTAGCTTAAAATCAGAAGTAAAATACTTAGGTATTATCTTGGATAGTAAGCTAAAATGGAAATCACATGTTGAGTCAAGAATCAAAAAAGCAATGACCACATTGTGGACTTGCAGCAGAGCCTTGGGAAAGACATGGGGTCTTAAACCAAGAGTTATGTATGGTTGTACACGTCAGTGATTAAACCTAAGATATTGTACGGTGCCCTAGTCTGATGGACCAGAACAGCACTCATTACAGCTAGGAAAGAACTTAGTCGCATACAGAGAATGGCTGCTATTGCCATCACTGGAGCATTAAGAACTACACCAACGGTTGCATTAGAGGCACTAATTGGATTGCTTCCTCTGTATCTAGATGTAAAAGCTCACGCCAAAGCTACAGCATTAAGATTCCACAACTTAGGTATGTGGACTTTGGAGAGTGATACAACAGAACATGGTAAAATACTAAAAGAGATAGGCAAGGGCTTTTTAGAATACCCCTTGGACTATATCAAACCGGCTCTTAAGAATAACATTCCCTACAAAGTGGAGATCACTACACGTAGAGAACGGAATATTAACCACCTGACTGACAAAGGAGGATTTGTGATATATACAGATGGATCCAAAAAATCAGGAAAGGTAGGTGCTGGAATTTGGGGCTTAAAGCCACGAATAAATGTCAGTATGTCATTGGGCACAACACCCTCTGTTTTCCAAGCAGAGGTGATGGCGATACTGGTAGGGGCTCAGAACCTGCTGGTATACAAAAATAGGAAGATAACTATCTTAAGTGATAGTCAAGCGGCTTTGAAAGCACTCTGTAACGATCAGGTGAATTCAAAGCTGGTCCTCGAATGCAGGGAAACTTTAGAATCACTATCGAGGTTCAACAAAGTTACACTAGCGTGGGTACCGGGACGTTGTGTCCCTGGAAATGAGAATGCTGACTTTCTAGCCAGGAAAGGAGCAGAGAAAACCTATGTTGGACCAGAACCAGTGGTAGGGCTCACTGAACAATCGTTTAAAGCGTTACCCAAGAATTGGTGCAGAGAACAACACAGGAAAATCTGGAAGTACTTGGTAGTACCTAGACAATCTAAAATGTTTATCAAGACCCCTGGTTTATTGCTGGGTGATCTTAATAGCATGACTAGACATCAAATAAGCACCCTGACTGGTCTACTGACAGGACATGGTCACCTGCTTAAGCATCTTAACGCAATGGGGGTATCGGAATCACCATTGTGCAGAAAGTGTGGAGTAGAAGAGGAAGACTCATTTCACATCATGTGCGAATGTGAAGCCTTGTCCACACTAAGATCAAACTACTTGAATAAACCATTTCCTGAAAAAGAGGATATTAAAAACCTAAAACCCAGAGAGATACTTAATTTCGCCAGAAAGACAGGACTCTTTGGTCATCTTTAGAGGTGACTTTATGGTTGGTAATGTATTAACACTTTGGTGATAACACTTAGGTGGGTAAACCGAATCAAGACAATTCGGTATGAGGTGCGCACAATAGACCAACAGGCTTGAGTGCATGGGCATTATGTCCACCTCAATAATAACTAAAACTAAAACTAAAACTAAGTTTAAAAAAAATAGTTTGGTAATCATTTTGAAAATGCATATTGTTTTCTAGCGTCCAAAATCAACCTTTTTACTTGTAATCATAAAATAACTTTGTTGTTTTAAATGTAGCTATTTACCTAGTTGTCATTAGAATAAAATTATTCACTTATACGCATAGAAATAAAGCAGTCATATCTTTAGTTAACTTTCTCTCGAACTGTTGTCATTTAAGTTTACCCTCTATACAGTCCACTAAGAACATACAAAATAAATTTGGTAATTTCATTAATGCCAAATATTGGTTCTACTTGTAATAATGATACAATTATTAACTCAGCGTTGACTTCACTCTAATAATTAAATTTTAAATATTCAACTAGTCTGTCGGTTAATGTAGTGCGCCTACATAAGGAATAAAAAGAGTAACTTGAAAATATGACTCTGGTGAATTTGTCTCAATATTTACTTTTTTCATTTGTCATCCTATAATACGTGGTATGGAAATACTATTTATTATATTAATATCTATATTATATTAATATCGTATTTATATCTAGTTTATTTAAAAAGGTCAATGAATTTTCAAAAATATTATGAAATTCAGACTCAGCATTCGATCTTAAAGTCTGAAATTCTTTTACTGTATTTTCCGCAATATCCATAGCTTCACCTAGATCAATATCTGTTCTTTGAAGTTGTTTTAAACGAGGTAACTCATAACTAAATACTTTATTCGCAATAAGTAAACAAATAATAAAATCTCCTTTCAGTATTGATGTTCGTAAATTACTTGCTTTTGATGATGTTTCAGTGTCATTCCACTTCGAAATTATAAATAACGATTCAATTAGGTACACAAAAAGCTCAAGAAAATCAATGACAGCATAAAAACGTTCAACTCATTTAATCGCATATAATTGTTGTAATGATTTTTTGGTAATACATTTTTGGCTTTCTTCGATTTGACTTTTCAACACATCTTTTCGCTTCGGGTATATGAAGGAATCTCTAACTTTAGATATTGTTCATAATCAATTTCGTGTTTCTTATATACAGGGTGTAAATCTTTCGAACCATAGTAATGTATGGGCGAGTATCCTGGTAAAGTGTAAAATAGGACCTCGTTTTTTTTTTTTTTCCAAAATTGGAGAAATTTTAGAATAACCCCCCCGAATTTCTATAATANAAATTTTGGAATAACCCCCCCGAATTTCTCTAAAATTAAAAATAAATCATACCACAATATTCCCCGCAAAATTTTCATACAAATTGAGTGGTCACTCGATTTTTTGTAACTTTTGCGCCCTCCCCTGAACTTTGGACTCAAAGTTGGAAAAAAATTTCACAATAGTGTGANCCCCTGAACTTTGGGTTCAAAGTTGGAAAAAAATTTCACATTAGTGTGACCTATCAATTTGTATCGTAATTTTACAGGGAGTCTTGTGATGTAGTTTATTTTTAGTATAAACGATTAAATAACAAGAAAAACCGAAAAAACCTAGAAATAATGTAATATTTATGCATTTTTATTGCACAAAAAAAGAAGCTATATTTTAAAGGTTATCTAATATTATGTGCAACTTAATAAGTGACTATTCAATAGTGAACAGTATTTTTCGAACATTTAAATAAACATTAACAAGCTCAGTGATGTACCATATTCTCATTATAGATTAATTTCGGAAAAGAGTAGTGTGCCGGTTACATTAAAATAATTATTTCTAATTGTAATAAAGTTAAAAATATTCATTTCAATATTATAATTCTTTTATTTCCCCGACCTAAAAAGAAAAAAATTTATAATTTTATACAGTTTCAATGATAAAAATTATAATAGGTTTGAATAAATAATAAAAGACGAAATAAACTCATGAAATTAAAAAAATATCACATTATTTGTGGGTTTTTCGGTCTTTCTTGTTATTTAATCCATTAAAGTCCACAGGACTCCCAGTGAAATTTCAATACAAATTGATGGGTCACACTAATGTGAAATTTTTTTCCAACTTTGAACCTAAAGTTCAGGGGAGGGCGCAAAAATTAAAAAAATTTCTCCAATTTTAAAAAAAAAAAAAAAAAACGAGGTCCTATTTTACACTTTACCAGGATACTCGCCCATACATTACTATGGTTCGAAAGATTTACACCCTGTAGAAGATGAATAAGAAATAACAAGGTTTAAAACATGAACAGCAAAATGAACATACGTCGCAAGCGAGTCACTTTGGTCAATAAGAGCTTGAGCTCCGTTGAATTGACCAGACATAGAAGAACATCCATCGTAACACTGTCCTCTAAGGTATTTTGTTTCTACATCAAATGAATGTAAACTTTGAATAATAATATCGGATAAACCTTTTCCAGTAGTATCTGTCGTAGGCACAAACAGAAGAATTCTTCCTTGATAATCATATTTTCAACAACTAAATATCGTGCACACAAAGTTACTTGTTCAATTCCACCAATGTCGACCGTTTCATCAGCATGTATTGTGAAACATCTTTGGGCATTTATGTTTGGTACGATTTTATTTAAAATAATTTTATTGCAGAATTCAATTATTTCATTTTGAAGTGTTTCACTTGTATATTTTATTGTTTCTTCAGCTTCCAAAAATGATTTTAAACGGTCATCTCCTTGAGCTCTGTATCTTAATATTTTCTTATGATTTTCTTAGATAACTTGTCATTTTCTTGATAGATATTGAAGTTACAAAGATAGCCGTTATTGTCAAAAAAAATAATAATAATAAAATTAAAAATGCAAATAATAATTAAACCTATAAGGTAGTAAAACCCAAAAGTTATTTTCGATTTGTTAAAGTCGTTAAACTTAATTCAAATCTCCTGTTATTTTCTTTTTTCAGAATTATTATGTCATTAATTCAATTATTAATTTAATTGTTAAGCTATATTATATATTCAACTTAATAAATTTTTATATTGATTATAATCGCATGGCATGATGTTTTTTATTAATAACTAAATGGTAATAGCAATTTCACATGGAAAAAATTTTTAATAGTTGCAAGAGAATAAATCCAAACGTTGATATTTTATTTCATACAGATTAAATTATATATATATATATATATATTCTGTTAACCGATATCAAATTTATTCCACTTGAACTTTCATAAAAAAATCTGTATCATTTGTAAACTAATGTAATAAATAAACAAACAAATACAAAAGTTTATTCTTCAAAATATCTTTAAAATATATATATATAAATATTTATTTAATAAATAAATTTAACTTTATTGAAGTTATTGAATCTAAATGAGATAAAAATCAAAGCAGTTTAAAATTTATTCTAACTTAAAAAGAATTAAGAAAAAATTCATTGCCACACGCGGATTGGAACCTTGTACCCCAAGAACGTCAAACGCAAGTTTTACCGACTGAGCAACCGTACTTCGCTACCGTCGGCTGAAAAAAAATGGCTAGTTCAAATTTCAAAGTTATTTTTTCGACTTAAAAAAAGCAAACAAATTTAAATAAGTTTAACTTTCTATGCTATATCAATTTTATTTATATAATATTTATCCAAATCAGTGTACTCCTCTTGTCATGTATTTTAAAATAAAATAAAATACAAAACCCAGAATTTTAGCACAAAAATAGCATATTTTTGAATATGGTAGTCATTTCCATTATGAAGACAAATCCAGAGGTCAAATTTTTTTTTTTCAAATTAAAGTATATTACATAAGCTTTAATTTAAGATATATATAAAAGTGTCAGTATTTCCGGAATACTTTCAAAAATTAAATTGAAAATATCTTAGTAACAATACGCATGTTTAAAGTTTTGACCCCCCTTGTTAAAGGGGTATGATCCGATTTACAAAAAAAGCGTGCCAGATGAAAGGGGTATATAAATATTTATTATAAAAAAATAATAATATTGATCCATACATTTTTCCAAAAGTTATATAAAATATAAATTAAATAATATAACATATAAAATCGAGATTTTTTTCACGGAAATCGTACGTTTTTCTTTAACTTTGATGTCCGTTTTCACCACGAAGACAAGTCCAGAGGTCAAATTTTTTTTTTTCAAATTAAAGTATATTACATAAGCTTTAATTTAAGATATATATAAAAGTGTCAGTCTTTCCGGAACATTTTCAAAAGTTAAGTTGAAAAAGTTCTACTTTCTATACGCATTTTAAAAGGTTTGCACCCCCCCTGTATAAAGGGAAATGGTCCGATTTTAAAAAAAAGTATGTCGAATGAAAGAAGTATATATAAAGTATTTATCATTAAAGAATAAAGTTGATTCATGCATTTTTTAAAAAGTTATAGCAACATAATGTTAAAAAATGTAAAATATAATATCAAGAATTTTTTCACAAAAATAGCATATTTTTGCATACGGTAGTCATTTTCACCATGAAGACAAGTCCAGAGGTCAAATTTTTTTTTTTCAAATTAAAGTATATTAATATTAACTTTAATTTAAGGTATATATAAAAGTATCAGTCTTTCCGGAACATTTTCAAAAGTTAAGTTGAAAAAGTTAATTTTTTGTAAAAAAGTTACTATTTGAAACCCTTCTTGTGGGCTGGTAAAAGGTCAAATGTTTACAAAAATATATAAAATGATAGGTAAAATAGATAGGTATCTATAAAAAAAAATATATAATCATTCGGTTATATTTAAAAAAGTTATGGCAATTTTAAGTAAAAAAAATTGAAAAAATGTCGAAAATTAGCGATTTTTAAATTTGTAATTTTTTGGGGGATTTCCCTCGTTTACGGAGAACGTCGGATTTTTTTTCACATTTTGAGGAAAATGTCTTCGACTAGTTACGATTTGTGATCTTTTGACATATTTTTCATCAAAATTGGTCCAGTGAGAGCTGAGATTGAGCGTATACAGACACAAAAAAAAAAAAACATATTATAGTAAAATTAATAACTTCTCAGCTTCTCATTGAAGCTAAAAGATTATTAATAATTATAATTAATAATAATAATACGTGTTAAATTAATATAACCTCTGCAGAGGCGTATTATTAAGGGGGTCCCTAGACGTTTAAAACAAAAGTAATTATATGTGTCTAATTTCATATTCCAAAATCTGAAATAAACCTACCTAATAGTAAACTGTCAACAAAGTTTATTATTAATTTTATGAAAAATGTTTAAATATGGTTACACTTGCAGAAGTAATGCAAGATCAGAACACAAAATCTCTTGATCAGTTTAATGCACCTACATCTTGGTATACCTCAGACTTAATTAATGAGTACATTAAAATGATAGTAACACGGTTAAAAGGTGAAGTTTATACAGTTGTCACTGATTTTATTGTAGCTCATCTTCGAGAAGGCTATCCAGCTGTAAGAAGATTGATAAAAAAAGATATTCACACAATAAATAATACAGCTATTCTTTTAATATTTTTATGAATGAAATTTTATTTTTGTATATTATATTAATTTTCTTAATATTCACTATAAATGGAAATTTTTATTTGTATACTACCAAACATTTTTTTACTTTTTCTATGTTTAATTGTTGTTTTTTTATTTTATATTAATCTTGTTTTTCTTTGTAACATTATTTCATTAAAGAAATTCAAATTTAATATAAATTTATCTTAGCTGAAGTAATTTAATGTTCTTGTTATGTGAATATACAAATATTATAATATACAGTTATGGATACAATTAAGTTAAAAAGTCAGCCAATTATAAATTTTTAAGTTAACAAGTGTATCTACTATCTTAACAACTTAATTTTAATTTTACTAAATAATGAATCATAAAGAATNAAGTGTCAGACCTTCCGGAACATTTTCAAAAATCAATTTTACTAAATAATGAATCATAAAGAATTTCATAACTTTTGTTTATTTTTTAAATACTATTTTAATTATAAAAAATTATTTTCTGTATTTTTTATGAATTCGGTATATTGAAAAGGGGTAACTAAACTTATTTGTTTATAATTCTCTAAACTGATAAACTATAAAATAAATTTAAAAATGAACTACAAGTTCAGAATATTTCCGTTGTTATTATATTTTTGCTACGGGTATTTTTGCTATCTAAATAAAATCCAAATACTTTTTAGAAATCTCTGATAACATGTAGATAAATACGTGTCATAGAATCCTATCAAATTAACTACATTTTTGTTATTTATTTTATAGTAAAATAAATATAGTATATTATAAAAAAAAAATAATACCAATATATAAAGCATTTTTTTTAAATCGGTGGGTGTCCAGACATGGAGGACAACCCTCCAAAATACACTACTGCCAACAATTATAATGTTAATTGTTGTCAAATATACTTTACCCAACAATGCACGTCCACACTGTGCTGAGAACTGTTTAAAAGCAAAATCCTCTAGTTCTACATGAATAAAGTGCTCCCATGTGAAATTTAAAATATGTTAAAAAGTTTAAACAAATTCATTTAAATATAACCATTGGATTATTTAAATGTTTCTTATGAATTTTTATATTATATATTATTATTATATTTTATTCAAAAATAGGGTAAATAAACGTTTTTTATATAACTTAATTTAAAAAAAAAACCCAGCACAGGAGGGTCGCCGCACAGTGGTGACGTGGCATAGTTGGATCAAGTATAATGATATCTGACAGTGATTAAAATCACTAAAAAAAAAAAACGCTTCGATGCAAATCTTTATATAGTGTTTAATTTTAAAAAATTCAACACTATATAAAAAATATCATTTTATATATTTTTGTAAACATTTGACCTTTTACCAGCCCACAAGAAGGGTTTCAAATAGTAACTTTTTTACAAAAAATTAACTTTTTCAACTTAACTTTTGAAAATGTTCCGGAAAGACTGATACTTTTATATATACCTTAAATTAAAGTTAATATTAATATACTTTAATTTGAAAAAAAAAAAATTTGACCTCTGGATTTGTCTTCATAATGGAAATGACTACCATATTCAAAAATATGCTATTTTTGTGCTAAAATTCTGGGTTTTGTATTTTATTTTATTTTAAAATACATGACAAGAGGAGTACACTGATTTGGATAAATATTATATAAATAAAATTGATATAGCATAGAAAGTTAAACTTATTTAAATTTGTTTGCTTTTTTTAAGTCGAAAAAATAACTTTGAAATTTGAACTAGCCATTTTTTTTTAGCCGACGGTAGCGAAGTACGGTTGCTCAGTCGGTAAAACTTGCGTTTGACGTTCTTGGGGTACAAGGTTCCAATCCGCGTGTGGCAATGAATTTTTTCTTAATTCTTTTTAAGTTAGAATAAATTTTAAACTGCTTTGATTTTTATCTCATTTAGATTCAATAACTTCAATAAAGATCAAGGATCCCATCACTGTAGTCGCCACTCGCGAGATGAAATTTTTTTTTATTCATATTAAAATTATTTTACTATATTATAAGTTTTAGCTTCGATACAAAACTGAGAAGATATTTTTTTGTGACTATCATTTATTTTCTCTGCTCTAACTTGACCTATCTTTTTCAACGATAGGTCAAATGATTACAATTAGTTGAAGATACTACCCTCGAAAATTTTGATATGATAGGGTTCAAATACAAAATAAAATCATTTTACTATGTAATTTAATAATTTTTTTACTCTATTTGTGTATGCTACTACTAGGTTATAATATTGCAAATTTTTTGGAAACATGTTGCTATATAAATCCTTTCTAAAAAACCGAGCACAGGGGTGTCGCGGCACNAAAAAACCCAGCACAGGGGGGTCGCGGCACAGTAATGACGTGGCATAGTTGGATCAAGTATAATGATATCTGACAGTGATTAAAATCACTATAAAAAAAAAACGCTTCGATGCATATCTTTAGATAGTGTTTAATTTTAAAAAATTCGTGGATTATTCCAAAAGCTTCATAAACTGCTAGTTCCTTATTAATATCCTGATTAAGATAAAGTATGTCGAATGAAAAAGGGATTATTAAAAAATATTATTTTTCATAAAAAAATTATGTTGATCCATACACTTTTCAATATGTTATAGCATTATAAAGTTAAAAATGTAAAAAATAAAATCGAGAATTTTCACACAATAATAGGATTCGATAGCCATTTTCACCGTGAACATAAAATAAAATCCGAAATTTTTTTTTTTCATGATAAAGTATATTACATAAGCTTTAATTTAAGATATATATATAAGTGTCAGACCTTCCGGAACATTTTCAAAAATCAAGTTGAAAAAATTAATTTTTTGTGAAAAAGCTGTCATTTTAAATTCCCCCCTGTGGGCAAGTAAAGGGTCACATATAAAAAAAAGATATATTGATATGTTCATTTTTGAAAAAGTTATGGTAGTTTTAAGTAAATAAAATTTCGAAAATTAGCGATTTTTTTATTCGTAATTTTTTTGAAAGTTTCCCCCTTTTACGGGGAACGAGGGAAATTTTTTCAATTTTTAAGGGTAATGTCTTTGACTAGATACGATTTGTGATCTTTTGACGTATCATTGAAAGAAATCGGTTCGGTGAGAGCTGAGAAAAAGTGGTAACAGACAAAAAAAAAAAAAAAAAAACACATCTTAGTAAAACCAATACCTTCTCAGCTTCGCATCGAAGCTAAAAAATGATTGTTAGTTTCTCCTGAATTAACAATGGATTTTTACAATTATAATCAGATAAAGCAGATAAATATTTGATTTTTTTTATATTTCTTTGACGGTTAAATATTTGTGTCTAACAATTTATAGATTTTTCACATTTTACCTATTAATTTTAATATAATTTTGTAGTATGTTACTTTAATAGTTACTTATATTAATTTTACAATTTTAGGATATGACTACATAACTTAATTGTCACTTCAATATTTTTTAACACGCAACAAAAAGCAAAAAAATTCATATAATTACTTAAGTTACAATAAATCATAATTCTTTTTTATTATTTACTTTGTTAATTGTATCAACATATTATGATGTTTTTACAATAAAACAGATTATAATTTTAAAACTAGTAGTCATATAAGTTTAGGTTTAAATTTTTTTAATTAAATTATTTTTTAGTTACTCTGAACTATTTACTACTCATAAATAAAATGTATTTTATTCGGCATTGTGTTTATTTTATTATAATATCAATTGCATATAATACAGATATTTTAATAGCTGTTAAGGTATTTATGTCTTATTTTGTATTTTTTAGTTTAATAAATAAAAAAGTTAAGAAATATCAAAACAATGTTTTAAATTACTTATTTTGATTATTTCAATACATAAATCATACATTAATATAATATTTAAATTTTGAACAAAATTTATTAACTTTTAAATAATATTTCTTATAATAAGGTCATAATTAATAGTCTAACAGATAATATCGTCTTATTGTTATATTTTTCCAGTTTTGGTATAGAAAATTTTTATCAGTATTAATGTTTAACAGCATAAATTTAATTTAAAAAAAAACTTTTCTATAAATATAAATATATATTCAACATATTTTATAATATAAACATGTAAAAAAGTTATTCAATCGCTTCTTTATAAGAATTTAATTTATTCACTTGAAAAATAGTGGAAAAGAAAGTATCCACTACTACAGATCATAAATGCAAATAACGGTTGCTTAGTAAACATAATACCTTCAAAATTGTTGTACTACTTTCACCAATACAATAGATTGATGATTTTTTTTGAGCTTCATTTAAGGGGTCGTTTAAATATAGAAGTCAAGTCCCAGGAATAAATTTGTTGTTTTTCTAATTTATAGTATGTAACATAATTGGATAAGATTAAGAAAATATGTTAATAAAAAGTACATATCTAAAGTATAATTACCTTAAAATTTAAAGTATAAAGTAATAAGGATTTACTTAAAAATAAATAGTTTCCTACTTTTAAAAATTCAATGGATTTAACTTTATTTTCTTAAATTCACTATCAAATAAACTTCTGTACTTCTATATTTCATTTTACTGAATTTTATGATTTTTTGACAAAATCAGTACTATTTTCTTAAACATGAATGACTGTTTTCACCACGAAGACAAATTCAGAGATAATAACTAATATATGAATAACTAAGATATCTATAAAAAAAAATTATAATTTTTATTCATCCATTTTTTAAAAAGTTATGTAAGTTTTAAATAAAAAAAGTTTACAAAATGTCGAAGTTTACTAATTTTAGCAATTGTAGTTTTTGGGGAATTTTATTCTTTCAAAGGGAACGAGGAAAATGTTTTAAATTATTCAGGGTAATATCTTTAACTAGACACAATTTGTAATCTTTTGATATATTGTTAAAAAAATTCGAACCCGCCTGGGCTTAGAAAAAATAGCGACAGACAAAAAAAAATATAAAAAATTATTGTGAAATTAATATTTCATTAGCTTTGTATTGTAGCTAAGACTAATAATTCTTTTCTATTATTAACATATTCTTTATATTATTTTAATAAAAACTGGAAAACTTTAGCCCTGAAGTAATTGACTTTTAAAAGATATTTTATTAAATACCATTCTTAAATATGAGTATTTTTGAAAATTTAAAACTATGTAGTATTGTCAGTAAAGTGCGATAATTTTATTTGTTTCACGTGAAATATTCAATGATTAATTTTATAAAATAATCATTTTATTAATAATTCAATTATACTTATAATTAGAACTACGTAAAATAAAAAATTGATATTACTTTTAAAATATAACATTCATTTTTTTCCTAAAAATTGACATGCTGATTTTTAAGTGTTTTAATCCTCGATTTATTTTAACTGTAAGTAACTCTTGAATTATATTTTTAGTTTATATTCTATACAAATATTCAAAAATTAAAAAAGTTTTTTTATTATTAGATGTTTGGTATTAAGTATTGTTCACTCGATTTAAAACTATAATAATTCAAAATAAATATACATATACCTTTTTTATGTATTTTAGAAATGTCATTAAATATAATTTAAAGTATGTTTCTCTGCATTTTGAAAGAAAAAAAAAGACTTTATACAAATATAATATTTATTATGATTATTGTAAATAATGTTTTAATAATTACAAGTTACATGTGTGCATTTGAAACACTTCTTATGCACGTGTATGTAAACATGTGTACACTATATACATTGTGATTGCTATAAACTAATAAAATTTAATTATTTTAAATTTAATTTATATTTAACTTAAAAAAACATTATGTTTAGGCTACCTCAGACATAATGATTTATTAGGGTGGTCCTCTATTATAGATGAAGCAAAATAAATATTTGATTTTTGTTTGCTAGACCTACTAATTTTTTTTATTACTATGAGAAACTAATTAACATAATATTTGATATCGATTAGTCAATCCCTTACGGTGTCGCACGTAAGAGGATATAAAATGGGATAAATAGGGTAGTTTTCTTGTTTTTTGCTTATGTTTCAAAAACAACTATTTGTTACTATTATAACTATTTGTACATGTTACTTTTGAAATAATTGAATNGGATACGCGACATAATAACACGTGCCGCGTGGAGTTACAAACTTACAAACAAACAACAAACAACATACACGTGAAACTAATAGAAGCGTGTTAAAATAAGGAAGATGACATATTTAACCTATTTTTTAATGGTTTAAAGTTGAATGTGTATAATANTAATTACTTCTAAAAATAAAACACTATCTACAAATTTGTAATAAAGCGTTTTTTATGATAGTGAATTTAATAATGTCAGATATCATCAATCAGTACATGTCCCAACTATAGTACGTCCTCAGTGTGCTGCGACTCCACTGTGCTATCGTTTTTTTTATCAGTATCAGTAATTTTATCAGTAATTCAAATTACAGTAGTAATTTTTCAGTCGTATTCTTCTTCCTCTCTAGTTAAAAATATTTTAATAATTTCGAAATAAAGTATTTTTATTTTAGCTTAATATTTCAAACAATATTAGCCACAAGTAATAAATTCATATTATAGAATAACTTACTAAATAAAAAATTAAAATTTCTATCAAACAAATATTATACTTTTTTTATCGGTAAGTTATGTTTATTGCAATTCAAAAATGTTGCCATGCTTAAGACAACATTGAAAATTTTAATTTGTTTTTGACTGACGGAAAATTGACAAATCCTTTTTTCGATAAAAGCTACAGAACTATAAACTATACAACAAAAATTATACTTAGAAATAATATATTATTAAATTGAAATAAAAAATTTTAAGTTCAATTTAATAAATCAAATCTGCCATGAGCTTAAATATTAATTTTATGTTTATTAATTAAATAAAAAAAACTAAGAAACTTTTATTAGTATTTCAATCTAAAATGATTTGTTTTTTTTTTAATTAATCAAATATTCTAATACATTTTCTTTTGTAGATATTATTAATAATACATTTTTTTAGAATATTGAAGAATTTGCCAAGCTTATAAATGTAATACCAACATGGCATGCAAAAAAAGAAAACATAGATAATAAAAATTATGATAAAATGTTATATAAGATAAATCATGAAAAAAAAATGAACACTGCATTCCATAATAAATTAAAGGGAATAATGTGTATTTATAGCTTTGCAATACAAAAAATTATGTATATTTTAGAAATGTTTCCATTTTCTAACAAATTGAATCCTATTGATAAAAAAGATTCCAATGAAAAGAAACCTAAAGAAAGACGAGTGAGATTTAAAAATGAAATTACGTTAATTTCTATTGATGATAATGATGACACATCGATAACAATACCTAGTATATTAAAAAAAAAACCTATTTTTTTAGCTGCTGGAAAAATACGTACAGACAGTATACCAGAAATAACTAAACAATTACAACCAAATCAAGAATACCGACTAAATATGTTTAAAAGTGCAGATATGCACTATACAATCCCTCTTGAATATGACGATTATATCAAACTTTACCGTAAAGCTATTGGTCGAATGATTTCCGTATTACTAATGGCTGCAGTAGTTCCAGCGAATTGGATATGGACAATATACAATAGATTGCATGCACTCGAACTAGGAAAATTAAATATAGCAGAATTTGTACAAAATTCCAGTGAGCTTAAATATAATAACGATTTTATCAAAAGTTGTATAGCAAATGATTTTTTGGTGAATATTAGAGAAAATGATTTTATTACAAATTTAGAATTTTTAAAGAAAAACATGAAAGCTTCTATCTCATATTTAAGAAATATTTATTTATTACCATCCAAGGGGGGCAAAGAAAGCGAATTATTGCCTTTATTCAAGTACGAGAATAAAGTGGGAATGCTTGAACTATATTGGAATAGAACATTTTCTAAAAATGTTCTTCCTATGCAGGACTGTCCTCATATTGAAAGTAAAAACATGAGTAGAGTATTAAATAAAATAAACGATAAAGTTGGCAGATCATGGAAAAAAGATCCATTTATATCTTTGAATTTATACATACTCATTAATAATTTCATGCAAATAAAATTGCTATACCACGCAATAAGACATTTAATAGGCTACTCCAGGATGCGCTGGCCAAAAAGAAACGGATTAAGATCTAAACCAAATAAACAAGCTCTAGAAAAACTGAAACTATATTTAATACATCCTTTAAATATTATATCGGAAATATTACAATTTTTAACGTTTCAAAAAATAAATGTTTTCAAAGAATTAATTCAAATTTTAAGTGAACATAATTCTTTAACCGAGGCTTATCTGAATAAACACATTAATTCTTTATTGGAAAAACTCGAAAAAAGATTGACAATGTACCATTTGTTCGATCCCTTAAAATTCGATAAAATTAAAAATGATATTCCAACATTAGATATTAGTTATCCCATTAAAACCGAATGTCATGACTCTTTAACTGAGTACTTTCAAGTATTTTCTAAGGCTATTCAACCATTGGACTTTAAGATATCTTATATGTTTGAGTTGAGTAAAAAAAAAAATTGGGAACTATTATGAAGAATGGTTTTTTATTACACAAAACACGAAATTTATTTGACTTTTATAACTTCTCATAGTATTGAAATAAATAAATTGTAATACAGTTTTTATGTTTATACACATTCATAACTATTTGATGACTTATATACATATATTTATTTAACAGATTGAAATTATTGAGTTTAGTTGAGTTAATTACTTTTACTTTTATTATAAATCGATTAAATTCAATACTCGAACGATATTTATAGTAGATCTTTACTGTTGTATTTTTATGAACGAAGCATGTTCTAGCGTTCAACATTTTAATCTAGCTGTAATTATGAAATTGTGCAATATAAAATACCAGTCATAAATATAATTGTTTAATATTTTTAATGTAATTATCTTTCAATCAAGTTTTTTACTTATTTCACTCATTAGTATTAAATATACAATTTTTTTGGGGGTTCATAGTAATTATTTGTTAATAAATTATCACATTGTTAGCGAATAAACAAAATAATAATTGAGAAATTTACTATTCGATTTTTGAATAATCAATTTTTAATAAAATAAAATTAATAATAAATAAAATTTTGGTATATAATAGATAATAATCAAAACCTAGTATTATTCGGCATTTTCAAAAAATAAGCAATTTTCTCTAAAGGTATTTTATAATTATGAATCCATCGCGATCCTTTCCTTAAACTGCCTTCAATGCCATCTTTCCAAACACCAGCTGGTAAATAAACTTCTCGTTCAGTAATTCCGGATCTCAATATTGGAGCTACAATCACTTCCTCTCCAACAGAAAATTCATCTTTCACATTATAACAAGTAGTATCAGAAGGATCTAGCATCCATAAAGGTCTTATCAATGGTATAGCAGTCTCAAGCGCTTCTTGAACATATCTTTTCAATAATGGATTTATCTGAAAACAACAATTCTTCTTTTCATTAAAAAAAAAATCTTGGACTACATTATGAAAAAATATTAAAATGTAGAATGAAATTTAAATATACATAATGTAATAATATAATAATGGTATTATAATATACATAACAGTTTATTATTGCGATAATAGACTGTTGTAATTAGTATTAAATATTCAATTTAAATAGCTTCTCAGTATCTTAAAAAATGTAAATATCAAATTTACATATATATTTATTATACGTCTATCGAAAAAAAAACCCAAAATATCTAAAAAATATTTAGTTAATAAATAAATAAATATTTATTTATTTAAAAAAATTATTTCAATGTATTAAGTACAGAACTGATTTTTACACCAATGACTACTACTAGGTTTTTGTCAACTTATAAATTGAACAATAGGTGTAACATTTTTTTGCGTTTTGATAACATATTTATTAACAGATTCGTACTATTTGTTGCCGAAGGGAAGTCAAATTTTTTGTCAACTGAAGTACTTGTGGATCACAGTCACTTGGCAATCTTGCATATCGTATAACTGGTAAAAAAGTTGCCAATTGCATCCATCTCATAACCAATTCTCTACTGTCATTAATATTTTGTTCACGGTGCCTACATTCCTTTAACGATTGTGTCCCTAAAACTTCCACAGGTAGATTATCTAGATGAAAAATATAAATTGATTGATTATTTTTATTTAAATTGAAATTAATTATTTACCTGGCGATATAAAACCATGCATTGACACATTTTCTACTAAGAAATCTCCACCAACGGGACCAGGAAGTGAAAATGGATACCCCAAAATCCCATACGTAAGAATAGTAGGAATAATCACTTGAAGAGAATCCCATGTGGACGCTAATGAGTTTAATGAAACAAAAATAGGAGCTGGAGGTCGACTTATTGCGGATGAAACTCCGAACACATTGACACTATCAGAAACGTATTGAGTGAACAACGACTTATAGTGATCAGGATTAGTTAAATTTTCATTAAATAAATAATGTCTAGGCAAATCGTAAGCAGAGCCTAAAATCAATGTGAAAAAATATCATATTTTATTAAATTAAAACATTAATACCTAATTTATACCTATATCTAAATAAAATGAGTCAAACTGATATTTTTGTACGAGATCTTTTAATTGTTGCTGAAGCCATGGACCACATTTTTTATTTGTTATGTCTAACATGCCAGCACTTTGAACGGACTTATATCTAGTCAACGCTGGAACATTACGTTCGTTTCCAACTTCCATAATCTTAAAAAAAAATTAATTAAAAATTTTACACTAACTTTGTTAACTAGTAGATATTGACTACCTACGAGAATTCCTTCTTTAACAGCTTTAACGAAATTTCTAGATTCCGTACTGATAAATGGTTGAATAGTTACCACTATTCGAAATCCTCGTCGATGAATTATGTTTATTGTCTCTTTCATAGTAGGAAAACGCGTTTGATCCAATGAAAAATCACCCATTTCTGCTTGCCAAAATTCATTTAATAATACATGACCTATAACCCAATTGACTACAGTATAAAATTGTATTTATTGAATTGGGGTAAGGTCGTGAACTAAAAGTCAAAACTAACCTTGTTTGATAAAACCCAAGGCAATTATATCTTCTGTGTAATTGACCATTGTCGATTCATTCAGCAATTCTTTTTTAGTTGGTGCTAGTTGCCATACAGGTTCTGTTAGAAGAGAATTTATAGTTTCTGCATCGGATTCTTTTAGACCATCCCATAACATTTTCTCTGAAAGTGCCGAGTGTAAAGTTTTCATATTTCTAGCTGAGCATATCGTGTAGTTTAAACTAGGTAGACTGCCAGTTCTTCTATAGGCAAAATCATCATGGCTGGCCTTAAACAGTCGATATATTATGTTACTTATAACATTTGAGTATAGATAGTATCTATACTCGATATTATAACTAATGGTATGTGCATTTTCAGTGCATACTTTTATACATAATCTATTGTTATAGCCATCATTAATTGACACGTGTAATGGCGTGTTTGGATGTACAGTTATAGCAACTCCTTTTGAATTAATAAAATATCTACCAAGAACATTACCCCATCGAAGTTCACCAATTTGCCCAGTGACAAACGGAGACATTTTAATTCTACCCAACTGAATTGGCCATGCCATACCCAATGTTCGGCCTCCACCATACCTAATAAAATAAAACATTTTATTCAATTCTTAAATACTAATTTTGAAGTTATTTTTTTTTTATAAATTTTTACCACAATGAAACTTGATGCCTGAAAATTAAATAAAATTTTTATTATTTTATTTAATGTATTAAAATAATAATAATAAATATTTGACATTTTTTTACTAATAATTTTAAAAATCAAAGTAATATTTTTAATTTAAAATCAGAGTATGAGTAGAATTCTATTTGTATATAAAATTATACATATTGTTGAACTTATCATAAATCATGATGATAAAATATTAAAAATATTAATTTTAAATTAATATCTAGATTTAATTTTAAATTAATGATCTAGAATATATATATATATATATATATATATAT